AGCCGGAATTACAGGCATGCGCTACCACGCCCGGCTGATTTTTTTGATTTATTGTAGAGATGAGGTCTTACTGCCCAGGCCATACAAATTTAAGGAAATTCAATTGACTGATTGTGATTGAGAGAGTGCCCCGGGGATACCAGTGGACTGGCTCTTGGGTCCAGGGGTCAGGAAGCGCTAGAACTCACATGCTGTGCCTCAGGTGGGCACCAATCTATGCCTGCTGCAAAGTAGAGTCTCCTTAGTTTCTTGGCCCTGGGAAGTCACCAAGGCCTACTAGCTGAGTCAGGGCTGGGAAAGTCACTGGGGAAGTTACAGAAAGAGTCACAGGGGTCAAGGAGGAGGAAGAAGGTGCTATATAAAGCAGGGGGTAATTACGATTGTCACACACGAAGATAGATACCCCTTGGATGCAAGGCATTGAATTGGTAGTGCGGATGAAAGATGGAGATGGGTGGGGGAGAGGGAGGTATCACAGCAGCAGGACGGTGTCCCAAATACGCTCTCTTGCTGGTCCTCTCCTCCTAAAGGGATAATGCCAGTGTCTGTCTATATGCAGGGGAAGATGGGGCAGGGAGAGCCAAGAATATAATAACCTGACCTGAGGACGGGGATCTCCTTTCCCTATTACACTGCTGCCCAGGTTGCTTGTACTGCTGCTGCTGTTTTCCCCCCAACTCCCTTGGCAAGGGGCATGGGACCTCCTGGGGAACCAGGGAGGCTGCTTCCAGGGTGCCAGCTGACACCTACATGTTAAAGCAAACAAGCCAGTAGATCACATTGAACAAAAAGAAGGTCACCGGGAAAGCAACTCGTGAGTAGTTATCCAGGCGGCTGACATGGAAGCAGAGGTGGCCCTGCTGCCAGGTGCTACCCTGACAATCGGGGACCAAGCAGTAGTACTTCCTAAAACCCTCCACTCCCTCAGAGCAGTCCATCCTGGCCAAGCGGTTGAGGACGTCCTGGAGGCTATCGAGGCTAGGGGACCACTGGATTGAACAAGACACACGTTCTTCTCCATCATCTCCCTCAGTGGTGACAATCTCGCACACAAAAATTTCCTCCTGCTGGCGGGCACGGGCTCGGGCTCGGGCTCGGGCAAGTGCACGGCTATGGGTACCGCTATCGATAGGAGGCTGAAATGGACAAGGGAAGAAGTAAGAAAATGTCAAGGGAAGACCAACCAAGCCTAAGCACCGCCTCAGGATTTTCTAGAATCTGTCCTCGGCACACCATTTCCTGCCCTCCTTGGAATTCCCACCACCATATCAGGAAGCTGATTTAGCTCCCTCCACAACCCCAGGTCACCCCATCACTCGGCAAGCTGACCACCCATGTGTCATCACCCTAGTGCCCTCACTGACATGCCTCCACACTCTAAAGCCTCACCACCACTCCCATACATACATAGCGGAGTATCGGAGAACGAGGGGGTTTCCTCCGGTTGTAGGTCACGTAGTTGAGCACAGCAAATTCCATCAGAGCGCAAAAACAGAAGATGAAACAGATGGCGATGTAGAAATCCAAAGCCGTGATAAAGGAGGCACGTGGGAATTCCTTACAAGAATAGGAGCCCAACGTGGTCATGGTGAGGACAGAGGTGAATCCTGCAAGAGCACGAAGGTGGAGGTGGGCTCGGTTTCTGACCCACACACTACACCACTCAAAGGACCCTGTGAGAAGGAAACTCTGCCCCAGCCCAGCGATCTCTGCCATATGCCTGTGCCTGTGCTATTGCCAATTCCCCTTTTACCTAGAGAGGTCCGGGCTGAAGCATACTCGGTCTTGATCCAAAAGGAAACCCAAGAGAGCATCGTGGTCACAGAAGAAGGGACATAGTTTTGAAGGGCAAAATAGCCAAACCGCCGGCTCACATTGAAGAAAAGCGTCATGACCATGTATTCACCTACAAGACAAAAACAAACAAGGAAACAAACACACCACTTCATTACAGGGTTGATGCGAGGGTCTCCCCCAAACAGGGCATTCACATTAAGGGCACTATTGTTCATCTCATGGGACTCCTTACCATAGTCCTAGGACAGAGGCACATTGTTGCGATGCAAAACACACACATAGGCCCAGAAGAAGCCAAGAAAGGAGACTTACTGTAAGACCCATGGCCAGTTGAGAGCTAAGGTAAGCCGAGGCCAGGATCTAAATAGCTCCTATCCCACATCAACGTCTATCTTTGCAGGGTGGTAGGAGAGTCAGGGGAAAGTGAAAAATTCAGTTAGCCCTCTAGATATCAGGACCACACAGCTGATGTCCAGATGGCTGACTGAGGCCTTCACACCCATCGAGATGCCTCACACCTGCACTACTGGCCTTCATAATGTTTACTTTCAGGAAATGAGTACAGGGAGGCCCGTGCTATGGTGGGCAAGTACAGAGTGCTTTAAGGTTTCTGGTTACACATTCATATCTTGGCAAAATGCATTAGTTAGCACTGCTTTACTGATGGCCAAAAAAGAACTCATCTGCCCCCCAAATTTGTGATGGCTTCCTGCTTTACATGAGCTATAGACTCAAGTCTGCACCCTGTAATCTGTCACTAAAGGCCCACCATGACCTGACTGCAGCTGACAGACACATACACACATGCTAATCCCACCCGCTCTCAGATTTCCCGAGATAGTCTGCATATTGATACTGACATTCCAACCCTGGAATCCCTATTCTCAGTCTATGAGCCCTAACCTAAACTGGATGGTTCAGGAAAAGAGAAGGATTAGAAGAAAGTGAACGTCAGCCCTCTAGATGTCAGTTCTGCAGAGCATACATTCACAAGGTGGACTGAGGTTTCCACAGTCACTTGGGCATTGTGTCCCTTCTCTTGGGTCTCACCTAGACAGCAGTGGCTCCTATGGGACATGATGAGAATCTACATCTCCAGTTGGAATCTTCTTTTCTGCCTTTCATGCTGTCTTATGCTCTGATGCACCCACCCCAAATACTCTGCATGCCATCATGACTCCATGGCTTCCTTGGGCTTTTCTCTGAACGCAGAGCATCACTTTTCACTGTCAACATCACACTGGATTTGTAATAGCTCCAGCCCTGGCTCTTCAGGGAAGCCAAGTTCCACACTTTCACTTTAGTGATGTGTAGAATTCCTTGGCCTTGAATTAGGTGGGCTTTTAAAGCCCTTCAAGGCATGACTCATGAGGGCCCTATGGCTAGCCCCTGCCCATCTAAGCCCAGCCCAGTCTGGATCCCAGCAGAAGCTCAGCAACTCTTGCTGTGAACACTAACCTGTCCATGTGTCCTCCTATTGTGGAAAGTAGATCACCTGCCCAGCAGGTCTGGGCAGACTGGAGCTGAATGAGAAGAGTCAGCCATTCCTACTTACCTTGGCAGCACCAATACTCAAGGAGCAAGACTTCTGAGAATCTTCTGAGAAAAGGCAAGGAGTTGGCTTGGGGTCAGTGGGAAACCTGTGTCCAGAGTAGTGGCTTTGGGATGGAATGCCTTTGGAGTTGTTACAGGGACCTCTCTCGTACTCCCCTACAGGTCAGGATATATTTATCCAAAGTTCTCTTGTCCTGGGGTCTTGACTGCAATTTAAGACACCTTGAATTAACTGTACCCTACCCCCCCACTAAAACTGCTGAGTTTATATATTCTTGTTGCCAAGAAGATGCAGTATTCTATTGGATTCTTCTATTTTAGTTTTATTTATTCTAGCCACAAAAGAACCTTCTCTGCTTGTCAAAAGATGGAAATTTCTCTTGAAGGTCAAGAGAAAGATGCTAATACACATGTTCTTCTTCCTGAGGAGTGGAGAAGTATGGGTAAGGAAGGGAAAGGATGATATCTGGGACTGAGGAGCCAAAGCAAAAAAATATGCTCAAGATGTTTTTTTTTGCTCTTACTCTTATCTGCTTCAGCAAAACCATGGATGGTTACTTCACTGTCAGAGGGACACAATTAAAAAAACTGTGTCCAGAGGACTGGGAATAGGAGGATGAGTGGGCCCAACACTTTGAAGAACAAGGGAAGGACAAGGAACGAGGGTTGTATAGACTATAGCAGAATATGATCCAGGGTTGGCATGATAATAGTGTTCCTTTAATCTTAGCCCCGTGGAAGAGTGATTGGGTGGTACTCCCGGAGACTCCCAATTTCAGATGAATAAGGACAGTTTTCTCCAACTCTTGGCCTCAGGTAATCCTCCCACCCTGGCCTCCCAAAGCACTGGGGTTATAGGCATGAACCACCACGCCTGGCCCCTACATAAGGAAAGTTTTCTGATTGACAGGGCTGTTTAGAGAAGAAATAAACTCCCTTGCAAGATAATGAACCTCTGACCACTGGTAAGGTTCCTTCAGAGGCTCCACACTGGAGAAGGCATGACTTAAGATCAACTAGTCTCCAGCAAAGGAGAAAGACGACTTTCTCCTTTCTCCTCAAGAACCCTCCTCTATCCCAAGGAGATCTGGTGCTTACCTATTGTCATCGCTTTGGTGACGATGCTGGCTCTGGGGCTTTGTAGTCACTAGGGTACCATTTTGAAACAATGCACAAAAATCTACTAAACGGAACCACTAGTGACTTGAAAGCCCCTGGGCCTGGTCTCCTCTGCCACTTTTGATGATAGCTCCCCACCTATCTTGGGGAAACTGACATGCAGAAAGGCAAGAGGCAGCCAAGGTTAGTTGGCAGAAGAGCAAGACTCCCAAGTCAAAGATAAGAAGACAGATTTCCCAGAAGCCCCAAGAAAGGAAGACAGTGTTTGTAGAGCAGTCCAGCCCTCTGCCCCGTCTAGTAACGCGCAAGCAAAGCTCTAGACAGAAGAGCATGAGCTGTCCCCTCACCCAGTGACCAACTCAAAAAGTGAAGAGAAGTAGATTTCTGCCTAGCCACATGGAAGCAAAGCAAGATGCCCTCCTTGACAAATGGCTGGTTGGGTGACTGGTTCCATCCACATTCTGGAATCGATGAGGGCAGTGCTTCCACTGCCCTGAACTTGGCCAGGATGTGTGAAGAGGGTTCTCAGGGCTGCTCGGGGAGCTACCCCAGGGAGGTCCCTTGGCTCCTCATTCAGATCACCTAGGAACACAAGCAAAGATGCTCACATCTAATTGGGAGCTGAAGTGTAAGAGACCCTGGACCCTCCCTTTTTGTCTTTGTTACAGAAAAGGTTAGAAAACCAACAGTCACCATATCTATGTTGAATCCACCATGAAGCCTTTGACCGGAATCTGTGCTTTTTAGAGCAATTCCTTTAAGATAAATGTTGATGCAGTGGCCATAATAGCCGCTGGAATTTCCTCCAGACTACCCATTTTACCTAGCTGACAAAAGAACTCCCAGTTCCACCTCCCCTTGGGATGAAATTTGCTTCCCATTCAACCAGCATGGATTGGTTCTGGGTATGGAAAGCTGGAACTCCATTCCCCCAAGGTCATCCCCGTAGGTCAATGTTGTAACAAAGACCTTGAAACTGAAGGGTTTGCATGACAAAGCTAGGTGCTACAAGCTGACAGCAACACAACTTTAACTACTTACCTAACCTCCCAGGGGGCTTGGCAAAGCACTTACTTCTTTGCAGATGAGACTGAGACATAGTTACAAAGTCTCAGTTTCCTCTGCAAACAGTTGTAAGTGCTTAGCATTGATAGGACAGGAGCCGCGTCCAACAATATTTCCAAGGGATGATGGCATAGCATTTGTATAAATGGCTACCTCCGGTCATCCTACCACCCTCCAGGGCCTCTGCAGAGCCCACACTCCCACGGCACACTTACCATTCGGGGTTGAGATGTTTTCAGTTTTGTTGCTCACTCCTGTAAAATCAAACTGAAAGAGCTTCCAGGAATTCTTCTCATTGATTTCAAGATTGAAATCTTCCCACTTGTAGACCAGCTCATTCACAGTATAGGAAACTGAAAATCAAGGTGGGAGGGAGGGTCACATGAGACTGTGGAGCCCAGCTGAAGTCTCCACCAACAAGGAGTTAGTCTGAACAATGCCTTGGAGTCCTGACTCTGGCCTTACCAGCTGTGGGACCTTGCCTCTCTTACCTCATTGTTGAAGTCCATTCAGTAAGTGCAATTACTGAGCATTCCTCAGTACCAGGTATTGGGCTGGAAATACAGAGGTGAGCAAGGCATGAACCCTGCTCTCAAGCATTCGCATGTTATTAAGACAGTGAATATACAACTGTGATTCTTAGAGTTGCTCCAAGACAACCCTGCCCATGGAGCAGTGGAGAAACAAAGTAGGGAAAGACCACTTGGGGACACACTCAGAAAAGACTTCAAAAAGCAGTTGACATTCCCAGTAAGTCTTTAAAGTCAAGCAAATAATCTCTTTATGGATGAGGGTGAGATGAAGCATAGAAAGGTCAAATGCCTGGTGCGTTGTGGAAATGTCAAAAGTTCAGGATGGCTAGCTCACAGAGGATGAGGTGTACAGGAATGGGTAGCAGAGGCCAGTTCGTGAAAGGCCTTGAGGGTCATTCCAAGGACTTTTGAATTGACCCATGAGAGTCAAAGGAGCATTTGAGCCTAGAAGTGACCTGGTCTAGATGGCACTTCAACTCGGTCACTGTGGGCCTCCTGTGAGGACAGCATGTTGGCAAGAAGGCCAGTGCAGTCACCTAGGCACAATATAACAAATGAAGGCAGAAGTCAAAGCTGTGATAGTCAGAATGCAGAGAAATAGCACCAATAGAGACTGGGAGGGAATAGCAACAGGATGCGTTGACTTATTAGATGTAGGAGGCGAGGGAGAGGAAACATCCAAGTTTTTGACTTGGACAACTGCGTGGGTGATGGTGCCCTTCAACGAGGCAGATAGGACTCCAGAAGCCACACATTTGCTTTGAGGACGGAGGAGGGGAAGAGACAACAAATTTACTTTTAGACATATTCAGTTTCCAAGTGAAGATGTTGCAAGGGTCCAAGTGGAAGACGACAAAGGCCTAAACCAAGGTAGTGCTATGGACATGGAGTGGAGCAGACATGCTTGAGATACATTTCACAGGTAGGTGGAAGTGAGAGGGACGAACCCCACATGAAGCTGAGGCTGAGGCACACAGTACTGTCAGCAGGAAAGGAGATGTGGATGGAGGATGGAAGCCCTGCACAATGAAGGCACCATCTCAGAAGAAAAGCAGAGGCAGAACAATGTAAAGGGAAAGGATGAGGAAAAGAAGGAGCCCAGAAACCTAAGAAGGTACTCACAGCTAGAGAAAGACAGAGGGCAAGAGTGAGAATCCATTGGAAATTTGAATATTTGGAAGGAGCATCCAGCATCAATGGTCATCCTGGAAGGGAGAAAGGAGCCCATTAGGCTGGCCCTGAACACTTCAGTATCCACCCAACTTTGCTTTGGGGACCATGGCCAATGAATAGCAACAGTTGAATTTAAGGCAAAAAGCTCAAAGGAGAGACAAAAAGAAAGGAAAAACAGTTTGGAAGTATCTGGCAACTCTGGGCTCCATCATCAGAAAAGTGTATGAATCAACTTTGATGAACTTTTCATTGTTGTCCAGCCCAGATTCTAGTACCTGCCAATAATCTCCCACTCTTCCCCACTTTCCAGCATCCCCACCCCACCCTTCCTCTGCCAGGAATTCAAGTCTCCAGACTGATTTTAGTTACCTTTCCAACCGCTGTGCTGCTGCTCCGCCTGGACAATTCCACCACCGTGGACGTGTCTTAACATCCAGTGCCCACTTGGGATGGAATTGTCTAGGCAATGCAGTCATAATGGTACATCTACTTGGAGGAGCTGTGGATTGGGAACCAAGCAACTGGGTACCAATCTCAGCTCTGCCACAAACTTGGTGTGTGGCTTTAAGTACTATCTTTCTATTTTGAGGCTTTAGTGTTTGTAGCTGATGTGAGTGGGTTGAACTCATGGTTTGGGAAAGCTGGACAGGCCCTTAGAAATACCATTCAGGATGAGCCCATGGGTCTTTGGCTAAAATTCCCAGAAGGGGAGGGAGAGTCCCAAGAGGTGAGATTCCAGAGACTTGTCATACCTAATAGTGTACAACACCCTGCCATCCTTGTAGATGCGAATCATCTGGTTGGGCATGGTGATCGTATACTCTTGGGTCCTCTTAGAATTCCTAAAAAAGGTGTCCGGGATCCACAACTGGCTCACCATATTGCCATTCAAAACAAGGGACTCAAAGGTGTCATTGTAACGAAGACGTTCATCATACCAACTCTGGCACAAGATGATGTCAATGGTGTATTCCTGGTGGAAAGAAGAGAAAAGCGCGTACTTGAGATGAGCAGAAAAAGGACATTCACAGGTAAACATATTGTTTACCACTCTTTAGCCTAGAATTCTAAAGGCACTGTGGCAGAACGCATAGAGCACTGGACCAGGAAATAGGAGTGGGATGAGGTCCCTTCTCTCTGCTCAGAGACTCTTCCAGTGTCAGGACTAGAAGGGGACTCAGAGATTACCAAGCCTAATGATCCCAATCAAGAAGTTAGTCATGTCCTGCTTAATTACCATGATTCTCACACAGTTCAGAGCAATAGAAAGGTTTGCCTTAAACGAAGCTCCCTGCTTTCTCTTACCAATCCCCATCCTGCTCTTTGGAAGCACACAGGGTGCATCTAATTCCTGCTCTAACAGAGAAATCTCCAGAAATGATACTTCATCGAACCTAGGCTGGTCTATTCCCACATTTCTGAAATCTGGATATATCTTATGGTTGACACATGTCTTTAACGCAGCATTTCCTCTTTTTTCTTGGCAAATTGTGGCTTAAATTGGTTGTGATCTTAAATCAGAGGAGACTTTGAATCAAGGCACTTGAATATTGCAATTCTGTCCTCCTGAGTCTTCTCTTCTCTAGTATAGAGCTTAATGATTAAGAGCTTTCAGCTTCAACAACCTAACCGTTTTTACCAATAGATCTACAAAAATTGCAGAGTCAACTGTTACTCACAGGCAACATTTTTTAACCTAAGTGTGGTACCATTCTCAAGCTTCCAAGTGTCCTTAGACATTTCTTAGAGCCTGGTTCATAACACTGCTACTCACTTTGTTCTATGTTTATCCTATAAAATTAACTACATGTCTTGGAATGATTCCACACTTTGGAAATTAGTGTTGTCCAGCAGAATGGCAAACATCCCCGTGGTCCATGAAGATCCTACTACCATAAAGCAAAGTGATAGAAACAACTGGTTAAGTCTGAGATCAAAAGCACCTTCCTGGTTACATCATCTTCAAGACTACTGGGCGAATGCAGTCAAATCAAGGAAGACCACGATTGCTAGGTATCTTGAAAGCCACATCAATACAACAATGAGATAGCTGAGATTTGGTGATCTTTAAAGGCCACATTAACTCTGATGTTCTAAAATCTGAGGATATTCAACAGCACAAGTTTAAGGGTACAAGGTTTATGTTACTGCAACTATCCAGTTTCTTTTTTCATGTTTCCTTATAAGTGAGAATAAGAGACTATTTCACTTAAGCATAGGACTTGATCACATCTGGGAAAGTAAACATGGAATCGTGTCAAAGTAGGAAGATTACAAAATAACAATTAGACAATGACTGATGCTACAGAAAAGAAAATGTGCCATAAGCTGTTCCATCTATAATGACAGTTTTAAATAAATGTTCAAGTCGCCTTGGCTAAAACTTGTATCTTTATCTATTATCCTCTTTGTTAAGTGGGGGACTAAACCAAAATTGCAAATATTCTCCCCAAACTGCCCTGTGTCCAGAGCTGGCATTCAGATCCTTCCTCCACCAGTAGGCAAAGGCACCATGCCATTCTATGATGAGTCTATCCAGTTGATAGACCCTTCGAAATTTACTTAGGTTTGCACAGAGGAAAACTGCAAGAGTTTGGCTGTAGGAGTTACCTAGTCCAGGTGTTCCCCAAAGAAAGTAACATTCCCCAACAGTTAACAGTCTGGGAGGGCATATTTCATCTAGAAACAGACAAGTGATGGTGGCCTAATTCCATGGGTTGGGCTCATCACTTCATCATTCTTGTGTGGGGCCGTGGTGCTATCCCAGCCAAATCAATCCCCTTTCAGTGCCCACATTTCCAGAGTAAATCAAAGATCTCAGCTCAAAATCCTTTAAACAATTTACAAGCACCCATACCTTTGATTGCACACAGGTGAGTTTCCCCTTTCAGCTTTTATTTGGGAAGCACAGATGTTAATTAACTCTAATACCTCATTCTCTAGAATCGCAATAAAAAATGAAGTGTTTTGAGTTTCAAGAAAAATATCTATTTAGTCTTATGTTTTATAAACAAGGAGAATCGTTTAAAAAAATTTTTTTCCTCACAGACAAGTATCTGTCACCTCTGAATGTGTATGTGTGTATGCATACATATATTCATGGTTATTTGGTCTCCAGATATCACCTATCCTATAAACTGTCTGTTAAACATCAAAAAGCATATTTAATACAGAGGATAGAAATTTGTACCACCGGTATTAAAGGGAGGGAAGAAAAATAAACTGCAATAGAATGGCAAGCAGCTTGAACAGCATGTACCAGAACCAGGACAAAGCAGAACTCTAAAGGCTAGCCCAATCTCTTTATTTTAGAGCTAGGGAAACTGAGGCTTGAAGAGAGGGGACCGTCCAAAGTGACACAAACAGTCAATGACAGCCTTGCCCTGGCATCAACGATCCATTTGAGTATCAAGGTCCAGTTTTCTCTGTAGACTACCTAGGTCGTTCCCCTGAGTTTTCCGCATCAAACAATGAGTGCCATCCAGAAACCCACCACCCCAGAAGCCGGTAGAGCCCCCAGGGAAGAGATCAAGAAAATATCTGCTTGTCTTTGCAGCCCAGGACAAAAGGTGGTAAAAACAGCTACCAGATTGCTTGGAGCCAGCCAGGGAAGAGAAGACAGGGAATGTTTCCTGGACTGGACAAGTGAAGTTGACAGAAAAGAGATGACAGAGCCTGACCACCACTCTGATAGGACCCTCTGGCCCTGCCCTGCCTCATCCCACCTGCCTTCACAAATGACCCTCAAAGTGCTTCCGCAGTACTGAGTGGCTGGTAGTTCCAACTTGGCCAGCAGAACCTACTTCATTCCCCACCCTCATAAACTGTTGGTAGCCAGCAGGAAGTCCTCCCCTCCACACTCACGCTGTGCTCGTGCTGTCTGTTATAAAGTGTTTCAAAGGAACATTTAATTTCTACTTGACAAGATACCAATTGTAAGTTCATTACACATCAACTGATAACTAATGGTTCAATGTTTCCCCAGTTTGATAGAGGTTGGGATGTATATCTCTTTTAGATCAACTGAAACGGTAGAAATTCGGTGTTTGGGAATCAGCTTAATTAAAATCGCCTGCAATAATTACCACAGCAAGAAACACTGCTAGCAACTGTTGATGCTGGGACAGGCAGTCATCCTTAGGCTGTTCATTGCTTTTTAAGTTCAGAATGGGTGTTCCAAAACCATGGGCTTGAGCTTTTCTCCCTGAGAATGAGGCTATGCTCTATACAACAGTTGACTGACCAAAGGCTGCTGAAACTCCCCCCTCCCCTGCAAATGCGTACACTGGTTATGAACCCAATCGAACACTGGGACTCATGACCTTGCTGAAGGCTCAGTTGCCTCAAGCATAAAACAGGGACCCTAATGGCAACCTTGGCTGTCACACAGGCTGTCACTAGGATCCAGGGAGACAAGTATGCTTTGAGCATTTGCACGTTCTATAGTTGTGTGCCAGAGACATGCGTCCCCTCCTCATCAAGTACAACAGAGAAAATGGACCTCCCACAGCTTTAAAGAGCTATTTGGAACCATGTAGAAGCTGAAACTTTTCAGGGAAACTTAACACCACATGTGAGAGTTTGGAATTTTCTAAAGGCACTTGGCCCAGGCTAAAGCACCACCTCACTGGCCAAAGCAAATCAAGTTGTTGGCTCCTTTCTGAACCAGCTCTGTGTTCCATGCTAGGTTTGGTGACTGCTGGGTTATTAGACTGTATCCTTTGGGCTTGTCAGGTGAGGCCAGTGCCTGCAGCAACAATAGGTGTGGAGTGAGGAGACAAGGCATTCAGCTACTGGGAGTGCGGCTACTGCTGTTATCACAAGGGCTCTTGCAGAGAGAAACTGGTTTCCCAAATTATATCTTACACAAACAACAAGGGGATTGTCGTCACAGACTTTCCACCTCTCTTCAGTTTTACAGCTCTGCCTCCTCTAAAAAAACAGAGCAAGGCAACTTAGGGCCATTTGCTCCATTGGGCAACGTGTGTGTTCTCCCCACTCTGTTTAAAGAAATTTAGCCACCACCAGTGAGTGGAGGTTGACAGGTTAGAAAGGAAGAAGCAAGCCAACTTGCTGGAATTTAGATGGGCTACTTCCAAATAAGGCTGGCAGTGCCTTAAAAATCAACTTAAAAGAGCACAGAAATAGACCAAAGGAACACAGAAACCGGTGTGCAAGTTTCTAGGAGCCGGGAGGTTACTGTGAACTGAGTCTGAGTACTAGAACTGAGTCTGAGTACTACACTGAGCTTTGGGCATGCCAAAGAGGGGAAGGGACAATCTTGAGCCTCTCCCCCCCCACCCCCACTGACCTGTAAGGGTAAACAATGGCTGCAATGGTGGGACCATAAGGCTTCAACCTCTGGCTCTTGCATAGAATCTAGTGTTTCTCAGTTTATAAACAATGACAACAAAACTGCTAAATTCACACCCATGTAAAAAAGGCAAAAAGAAGACAACAGTAGCAGTAGGCCCATTGATAGCACAAAAAAAGTAAATTTTAAAAGGTAGACAGAAACTGAAAAAGATCTGCCTGTGTTCATGCTTCTGTCTTTCTTTGTTAGGTCCCAACATTTCATTCTAAGAGTGCTCTAACAGGAGAACATCATGGTCATGTGTAGGAGGTAGATTCTAAGATGACTCCCAGTGATCTTCACTTTCTTGTGTTTGTGCCCTTCGGTAATCCCCTCCACATTACCGTGGGCTAGACCTAGTGGCTTTCATCTTGAGCACCTTCTCTTACACTCTTTCTCACTCTGAGAAAGACAGCTGCCATATTGTGAGCTATCCTGTAGAGGTTCACAGACCAAGGACTGAGGGAGAAATAAATCCTGCCAAACATGCGAGTGGTCTTAAACATGAATCCTTCCTCAGTTTAGCTTTCAGATGAGACCTCAGCCCCAATGGACTCCTTTACTACAGCCCTGCGAGAGACCATGAAACAGAGAACCCACCAAAGCCATGTCTGGATTCCTGACCCACACAAGATAATGATTATTTGCTGTTTTAAGATACTATGTTTTGGGGGATAATTTGCTACATAGAAGTTCATATGTATACCATGCCTTAAGAACCAGTAAGCCAAACAGAGATTCACAGGAGAAACCCCACTCTTTCATTCAGCTTATGTAAATACCTTGATCTTCAATGAAGGTTTACTTACCTTTGAGCGTTTATTTCCAAGGTTAACGTCAGAGCCATGGCTCTAAATTCACCCAATCACATGGTGCTTGTCAGGTACCAGAGGGCATGCAGACAGGCCCTGCAGATGCAAGTGACTTTTCCAGAGCATCTTTTACCATCCCTTTGCTCAGCTGACATATACTGAGTCTTTAGCATCAGGGAACCCATAACGAAGTAAGCAAGGCAGACATAGAACAGATAATTACAATGAAATGAGGTAGGGATGATCAGGTAATATAAACTAAAAAATGTGGGTGCCAAAGAAAGGGATGTGGTGTGACAAAGAAGTGAGCAATTAACAACTGTGGAGTTTGGGGAGATATCATGAATGAAATGTTATCCGAGCTAGACCCTGAAGGAATATGCAACTGATGAATAGAAAAGTCTAACAATGGCATCTCAAACAGGAGATTGCCTGAACAAAGCTGGTCTGGGAACACCCAAACTCTAGTGTGACCAGAGCATGTGGTCTTTAAAGAGGTGAGGAGGGATACAAGCACGGAGGGCCTTGACTGCTAGAGTGGGGGGCAGAAAACAGGGTAAGGGCTGCAGGAGGCACAGTCCTTGGGGCCCAGCTTCATGGGTGAATTAGAGTAGGTAGAAAACTTTGCCTATTCTAGGTGGGAGATGTTGACAGCTGACTGGCAACTGTACTGAAACACTAAGATGATACCAGTGGAAAAGGAGAGGCGTAAGTAGAGCAAAATTAGCGAAACAGACTTAGAGCAAGAGCTAGTAACTTTAGACTGACATCGATACAAATAGTTATCAGAAGAAAAGAGTCATTCCATGTGGTGTTTAAAGTTGCTTTATTGTTTTTATTGTGAATGAAAGGCTGAAAGATACAGTCACGAATCTAGAAATCCTCTTCAGGCATCAAAGGACTTACCTTTTCTAGCTTCATTTTCAATTCAGTGGTTAAAAATCTCTACTTCTCTCCAAAGAAAAAAATCTTGGAGTTGTTACAGAAACACAGAGCAGAAAGCAGAAGTATGTGAAGGACCCATAGACCAGCCCCTGGGCTAGAAAGTACCGTAATAAAAGTTCAGTACTCACCATGTCCAGAAAAGAGAGAGGACCAAGGCTGTTGACAGAGATCTCAACAGTGACCTCAGTGGGCCTCTCTGTAAGGGAAGCAGAAGCAACAGAGGGTGACAAACAGGAACATGAGGCAGGGGAAGGAGTGGTCAGAGGGGAGAAAAGGGAAGACAGGTAAGGGCTGGACCACAGCCTGAGTATACCACCCTATTCCCTTATTTGGTATTTCATGGCAAGACCCAGCTCACAGACAGTTAAGAATTGGACATACACCTCAAAGATCAGTCATCTAGTCCAGTCATCTCATCTTATAGTTGGAAAAACTGAGAGAGAAGGGAAAAGTTGTGACCAAGGTCAATGGCATTGCTGAGTTTAGCATTGTCATCTTTTACCTGACAGGTCGCCAGATGTTCTTGTCCACGTGCATGGCATCCTCGCCTATGCCCCAGGCCCATTCTCCATGCCTATGCCCTCAGGAGGGGAAGAATTGTGTTCTGCTACTCACCTCCAATGCCAGGACGCAGTTTGTGATCATACTCATTCAGGATAGTGTCCAGGATGCGAGAGGCCTCTGCCAGTTTGCTAGGTTTGCGCTCAGTCTCAATCTCAGTCTCAGTTGCAGTGGGCTTTGTTGCTTCAGAGAACGGCTGGGCCTTCGGGCCATAGATGAATTCATATGCAGGAGACTCACCCTCTGGCACAGTCTGAGATTCCTCAAAACTAGAACATACAAAGGAAAAATGAAACTCTGCCCTCTACTATGTGGGGACCCCAGTTGGTGCCTCTTGAGATAGAAGCAAACCAAAATAAGTTTGCAACACAAAGCTTAATTAAATAGTGACTGGTAACAGTAAATTATGAGACAGTGACCAATTATACTTGTTAATTTATTTTAAATCCTGCTGCTCTTGGGGGACTTTCTATGCTATCCCTCTTTTATGACAAGTCTTTATTTAAAAAAAAAAAAAAAAAAATCAACAATACTAAGACCTGGATTTTAAAAGGATTTTCCATGTAAAATGACAAGGGCATTTGTGTGTGAATTCTGGCCCGCGAGCCAGTGGCGAGCTTGGCCTCCAGTCTTTCTGACCAGCACCACCTGGGAGTAAGGGTCAGGCAGAGGGCCAGGGCTTGGGGAATGCTTGTGAAAGCCGGGAGGCCTTTCCCGGAAAAGACCAGAAAATTGTGGGAATATTTTGCAGTTCTGTTGGCTTTGTAATACTCATTGCACTGGGGACAGGGGAAGGGGGTGAAAGCAAGGAGGCTAAAGCTCTTCGTGGATAGCTAAGCACTGAGGAGAGGTGGGAGTCCCCCCACCCAGAGACAGTCCTCCAGAAAATGGCTGACCAACAAGGTTCCACCCCCAGGGCCACAGCCATGCACCAGAGCCAAGAGGAAGAATGAAATTACTCGAAGTAATTGAATCAAACACAAATTGAAAAAGCCATTTACCGATGTAAGAAAGTCACCTACAAGGTTAGAGGTCAGGGTAGTGCTTCCTCTGCTCAAGTCCAGTCCTTGATTTGGTTTCTTGACACGGCTACGCTCATTTTCTGAAAACTCATCAGCTTTACACTTATGATTTGAGCACTTTTCTGTATATATGTCTTAATTCCTTAAGAAAATGTTTCAAAAAAATAAAAAATGCCCTACCTGCTAATATCTGGAACTTACTTAGATCCTAATTGCAAACAACAAAGGATGACACAAACAAGTACATTTATGACACAACAGGAGAGATCTGAACACTAACTGGATGGCTGAGACATGAATATTCTTAAATTTTTGGTATAATAATGGTATTTTTCTTATGCTTTTGGAGTCTTTGACTAGAAAAACATACTAAAATAATTACATATGAGATGATATAATGTCTGGAATATGCTTTAAGACAATCGAAGTCAGAAATTCAGAAAATGGAAGGTGGGTGGGGGTACAAAGTAAATATGAGTGACCATGAGTTCATAAATGGCAAAGCTGATGATGGGTACGTAGAAACTCAGCGTACTATTCTCTCTACTCTTATATCTTTGGAAAAGTTTTTATAATTAAAAGCTTTTTAAAAAAGCTATCAGCCCAAATTAATCTGTGATGTTGGAAGGCAGGAGAAAGGTTTACTGGGGGGGGGGGGGGGATAGTATACTGGGAGGTGCATTTGAGAAGGTGTGTGAGAATGTGTGTGTGTGTGTGTGTGTGTGTGTGTGTGTGTGTAGTACGGCAATGTACTAGTTCCTGATCTAGGTGCTGGTTACATAGACATGTTTACTCTGTGAATATCCACCTAGCTGTTCACTCATGATTTCTGCGTGTTTATATTTGTACGTCACACTCCCAAAATGACTTTTTAAAAAGCCATCAGGCATCTTGCTTCCTAAAATAAGGGGTAAACAGGGCAGGAATGTGGGCACAGCCCCTGTATTGCAGACCAGAGGACTACCAACTTGGACAGCAAGAGACATTTTTGTGCAGCGTTTCAAGAATTGCTCAACTGGCATACAGATGTGCCAGGTCTGTGCCATTTCTCATGTCTGAAGTGGCTCATTCCCACCGTGGGCTAGGGAAGAACTGGGCTTGGGAAAAACAGTTTTCACTTTCAAATACCATCTCCAGAAGATATCCTCTTCCCCTGAGGCTTTTCAAGTTTCCTAAGCACCCAAAGGCTAATCTCCCAGCCCTCTGAAAAGATAAGGGCCAGCAATTCTGGGAGAGGAGAAGGGAAAATGGAGGCCAGAGACTGCAAAATGAATGACGTGGCTGGGAACATGGCACAATCAGAGTGGCAGCTAGGAAATCCCCCCAAAACGGGGGGAGGCAGCAGTCCCTCCCAGATGTCTGAAACCCATCCACCATGAGGACTCCCCTCCCCCTCTCAGGTTTAAAAGTACAGAGGCAAACAAATAACCCTGAAAGCACTGAGACCACCAAAGTCCTCCTGCCTCTAGAACTAGGCCTGCAATGCAAATGATCAGAGGGTCTTGAGGTGGCTTTAATCCTAAAGTTAGTCTTTGCCAGCTCAAATAAACAACCTCATCCTGAGACCCTTGGGGTTAATGAGCTGCTGACTGTGTGGTGTGTACCTCTCCCCAGTCAGCCATTAGGCTCACTTTCGGGGCTAGAAAGAATAAGAACTTGAAAAATACTCATATGTTGGACTGTGGCATTTTCCACGGGGTTTCTTTCAGGCACCTGCATTCCTCCAAACGTGATGGTTCAGAATTAACTGGAATCTCTGCACTATCCCCTCCTGTACAGTTGGCTGGGGTGGGGGGCATGAGAAAAGGCACTGGATTTTTTTCAAAGAAACTCTTTTAAATTCTACAGTTAGAGAAACTGAGGCCCAGAGGAAGGAAGGGCTGTGCCCCAAGTCACATAACTGATCCGAGGCTGAGATTCCACAAGAGTAAGGTCTCCTGTTTCACTGTGGTCCAGCACACCCCACTGTCACCCCTCCAGCTCTTTCCTGACACACAGGTTGCCATGCTGATAATGTTGAACATGGGTCACTGCAACCTTCTACCCTGGCAGGAAGGATGGCTTCCCTCGCCACAGTCCCTCTGCCCTGCTGTTTTCCTCTCAGATCCTCCTTCTTCCTTTTGTCCCCCCCCCACCTCCCCCCAGCCATTTTTTCCCCCCATACGTCAGCTTTCTCAACTCATCCAATCTCACTTGCAGGGACATGGATGACTGGAAATTTCTAATACGCACTTAGAAACATGTACCAAACCCCCAGTGAGCCCAGCCCCACCCCGGGGCACCAGTGAGCCACACAGCCCCTCCCACGAAGAGCTAGGAAATCTTAGGTGGGGAGAGAAGTCATGCCCCCCTCCCCCAAACAGATAAGACACAACAAGCTCATGGAGACTTCCAGAAAGCTCATCAGGTCAGCAACTTGTGACAGTTAACACCCAGGAACCGTCTCAAAAACAAACAAAAAACCCCAAATGAAGCAGTCATCTTCCACCCTAAAAAGCCAGAAATCCAGGGGGACAATCTTCCTGGCAAAGTCCCAGGGGCAGAAGAGGGGGTGAAGAAAGCTGGCTGCACGAGGGAAACCTGAAAAGGGAAGGGGGGGGAGGGGTGAAATCTGGGCCCCAAACCACAGATCTCTGAGGAGAGTAACATTCCTGGTCTCTGACTCCAGTCTGCCCCAAGACACAGCAGGATGTCTAGGGATGAGAAAGGAAGCCGGGAGACTGGCGATGGCGAGGGTGGGGGTGGAGAGCTGCGGCGGGAACCCTTAGACTCAACTAAAGCTCGTGCCTGGGACTGGCAACGAGAGCAGCAGAGGCACGGGAAGCAAGTAAAGTCAGAGTTGTCTGGCGCAGTGCTTGGTGCTCAGTAGGTATTCTGGAAAAAAAATTGTGAGCAGGAGAGAACAGATTGGGCAACACTAAAACATTTTCGGCGCATTTAAGCTCCCCCAGCCCTTGTGCCCCCTTCCCAAAGTCGCTCTCGCCTGTCCTGGCCAGTTACCCGGACCGCTCTCCTCTTTCTGCGCAAGACTCAAAGAGAGGGGAATGCTCCCCCCCAACCCCCACTCCGGCCGCTGCAGTGCTTTGGTGACTCCGGGGACGCGAGTGGCAGGGGACAGGCGTCCTGCCTTCCTCTTGGGGCTCCCCCTCAGCGGCCCGGGACGCCCATGCTAGAGGGAATGGGACGGAGGCTGGCGCGCGTCTAGGGGACCCGGGACCCGGCCAGCCCGTGCGAGGGCCTGGGGCGCGACGGGCGCGGGCTTGGAGGAGCGCGGGACCCCGGGGGTCCCAGGAACCGGCCGGCTCCCAAGGAGGGGAAGCCGAGCGCGGAAGGCACCTGGATCCTGGCATGGAGACTCACCTCAGCTGGAAGATCAAGCAGATGTGCAGGAGGAACAGGACAACTTTGGGGAACATCTTGTCGGAGACCGGCGCGACCACCTGTGCGGAGGTCGCGGCGCACGGTCTGCCAGCTCCGAGCGCAGCTATCAGCTCCGAGCCCGGCGTGGAGGGTTTTTGCTGGGTTCCAACTTTCACTCCTCCCACTCGCCCCGCCCCGCGCTCCCCACCCCGGGCCCCCCCCCAGCCCCGATGGAAAAATCTCCGACGACGTGACGGCTGCAGCGCGGGAAGTGGGGGAGGCTCGGGAAGGAGGGGTGGCGAGGAGGGAGCCCTGTCGCCAAGGACCCCCGCCCCGCGCCGCCACCACTGCAGCTCTGCCAGACAGCCGGGGACGGGGGCTGGGGGAGGGAGGAGGCGGTGGCGTCCCAGGCCCTGGCTGCGGGGGGTGGCCACAGGCTGAGCCCTGCTGGGCAGGATGGGGGACTGGGTGCCTTTTCGCCTTCGCCCGACCTCCTCCAACTCAGTAGCGCGCTGCGGGGTCCAACTATGGTCTCCAGCCCTGGCTTTGAGCTCACCACCTGTGGCACCTCATGACTCCCCCTGGTCTCCTTGCCTCACCTAGCTGTTTCTCGGGTGTTCCCTGCCTTACTCCCTCGCCCTCTAGTTCTCCAGGGCGCACGTCTTGGCATCCAAAGAAAGCTGGGTGGGTAACTCAGCACCTTCCTTGGTACGGGGGAAGAAGAGAGATTTAAGGGTCTCCCCAGCAAGCACAGAGTTACTCCATAGGCCAATTACCCAGGTACGGTATTCGAGGGCAGGGAGGATTCATTAACAGAGGACCAAACAGAGAAATTCACTGGAGAACTTTCTCGGAATCCCACGGAGGCACTGCCACAGTGTGGCTTTAGGTTCAGTGGGGCTGGATATGAAAGCAACACCTGGAACAGAAGAGGCATATAAAGCTCCTCTCTAAGTGAGACTGGGTGGCCAAATCTTTCTGGAGTCTTGGCTCCATGTGATAGCTGAAGTGAGAAGGCATTACGGGGTAAGGGACAGTGCATCTGTTCAGGGGTGTCAAGCATACTTAGACTTCATCTTCTTTGTCCTCCCCCCACTGCTTCGCTTCAGCAGGAGAGGGATTAAAAAGATTTGCATAACAAACTGGTGCCAAACTCTAGCCACATTCTCACCTGTTGCTTTCAAAAGGGTTGTATGCATCCCAGCTGGGATGCTGGTTCCTGGAAGAGGCTTTGCTCTACCACGCTTATCAAATTGATACTCATTCACCTCCAAGCACAACACTTCTCTTTGTCATCTTCACAGCACTGCTCACCGGTGACTTTCTTGAGCATATCTTTGTGAGCTGTTTACTGTGGGTCGTCCGCACTGAAGTCAGCTCTGTGACACACACACACACTCAGCCACACATACAAAATGTGGTGGTTGGGTTCTCCACTGTATCCTTTACACTTAGAGGAACTCTGGGCACATAGTAGGTGTTACAGTCTGAGCACGTCCTTATGCCCGCTACCCAGAAAAAACAGACTGACAGCAGCTGCTACAGT